ATCCGCCGTCGCACATGTCGCACTCCCATCCCTCCCACCACCCCCAGTCCCATCCCTCTCAGCCTGCCTATTCCCACCCTCCTCCGCACTCCCACTCCCACTCCCCGTCCCAGCCGCACGCGTCGCCCTACGACGGCTACGGGCGGGAGGGCTACGCCGCGGGCTACGCCCCCCCGGTCCACGGCGAGGGCTACCCGCGGCACTTCGGCCGGGGCGGGCGGGCCCCCCATGGGGCCTCGGGGCGGCGTTACGACGGCCCCGCTTCCGGCGACTCCCGCGACCCCATCCCCCTCCGCGAGCCCACCAACACCGTCTGGGTTGGCAGCCTCGATACCGCGATCCACACCGATCAGGCCCTCCGCGCGGGGTTCCGCGAGTTCGGGAAAGTCATGCGCATCGCGAAGCACCCCGATCGGGGGTTCTGCTTCGTCCACTTCCGGACCGTGCGGGAGGCGGAGAACGCCGTGGAGACGCTCTCGCGCACCGGCGTCCTCGGCCCCGCGGTGTTCAACTACGGCAAGATGTTTGAGTACACCGAGGAGGAGATGAACATGCCGTATGACCCGAAGGAGGATGAGGCGCTTTGGTCCGGCAAACGGGCGGCGCCAGAGGAGGGCGGCGACGGGGCGGGGCGGGCTCAGGATGCCTCGGCGTTGGCCCAGCCGCCGGCGCGCCGGCCGCGCCACGAGCGCGGGCAATCGGAACCCACCAACGTGCTGTGGGTGGGCAGTCTGCCGCCCTTCGTGACGGACGACAAGCTGCGCGAGATCTTTGAGGTGTTTGGCAACATCACCACCATCACCCGGATGGAGAAGGGCGGGATGGCGTTTGTGCACTTTGATACCATCGAGCACTGTACGATGGCCCTGCAAACAATGGCAGGGCGGCTGATCGAGGGCGGCGTGTCGCTGGTGCTGAACTACGGCCACGGGCAGAAGCGTGGCAACGATGCGGTGGCCGCTGACGGAGGCATTCCATCGAACGAGACGCCCACCAACGTCGTTTACCTCGGCCAACTCCCGGCGAACATCACCGAGGCTGATATCGAGGCCCTGTTCGAACCCTTTGAGGGCTTCATCAACTCGAAGTACGTCTCCTCTACGAGTATCGGATTCGGGCATTTCGACTCGATCGAGAACGCCCGCGCGGCCCGTCTGGCGCTGAACCACGCCACGCTTAAAGGGGTCCCTATTCGCGTTAATTTTGGTAAAACGAACCACAGCTTCACGATGGCGGATCGCCGCCGCGTGGGCGAGACCGGGGTCGGCGGCGACGTTGACGGCGCGTTTAACTTGGATGCGATGATGCGCCCACCGGCAGAGCTCGACGCGGCGTCCGGGGCGCTGGTGCTCGGCGGGGATAGCGCTGGCGGCGCCCTTGTGTTGCCGGCGATGGGAGTTAACAGCGGGATGGGTGGCGCCGCCACCTCGGCGGGGGGTAATTTGTACAGCAAAGAGCGCGCCGCGCCTGAGATGACGTTGGATGTGCGGCTGCAGACGGTGTTGGGCACCCCTTACAACGGCTGCGGCGCGAAGGATCTCGAGCTGAGCCCAAGCCAGATACAGGCGATCTGCAGCATGGTCGACGCCTGCGTGGATAGCAAGTCGGAGCAGCGGCTGAATGATACGCTGGTATTGTACTGCCCGCTTAAGGCCGTTCACGTGTTTAACATCCTTGCAAAGCGCCTGCACACGTGCTTCGACGATGACCCGCATAAGAAGCTACTGGTACTCTACGCGGCAACCCGCGTCTTATTAGGGGTGGTTACCGATTATATTCTCTACAATGCGGCGGCGCTTAACGCCTACCTGATGGTCCTCCTTGTCGCGAGTGAAGGGCAGACCAAGAGTGGGATGGATCGGCTATCCACGATTGTCGAGAGCCTTATCCACCATGGGTTTATCAGCAAGAAGAGCAACGCAGGGCCAGCATACGAAGATGTATTCAGAGGACAGCTGGAGGAAATATTAAGCCGAGCAAAAGCTGAACAAGATTTAGCAAGTTTGGTATCCACTAGGCGGAGAAAGCGGTGAGGTTGAAACGTGTAAAAATGGGAAACTTTCATGGATTAATAGAAAATTATTATTTTTCTATCACAAAGATACAACTTAGGGATCCCAATGAAACTATTCATCTTGGACAACTAATTTCTATACATTTTTTTCATTTTCAGTGGGTGGGAATCGGTGGATAGGATGAGCGAAATATCGAGAGAATGTTGTTGTAAATAGTCTTATAGGTTTGATTTTGAAAACAACTACAATGAAATGGTTAAATAACGACACCACAAAGCTGAGGAAACACCATTTTTTTTCTTTGCCACCCAATATTTTTTCCAAGCTGTGATTTTGCTATGGTAAAATAATGGGACCTATGGATAATCGTTTATTCTTGATTAGGGCTTCGCTTTGTGTGAGCGGACGTCACGTAACAGACGAATTCGGATAGCCTTCAGTGAGTGTAAGACTTTTTCCCCTTTGGGCATGCTCCTTCCTCATGTTGCCTTTTTAATATTCAGATACTAGTGTGCTTATAGTAGTGTATAATTATTTTTAATACGCACATTGCATATCTACCCATATGCACATTTGTATCAGTGGCTAAATCACGATAAGTGTCATGTCAATGCACATAAAAATCTTCAATACCTATCTATTCTCATCTTGATTTCATGCATATATTGACAAAAATCGGCCCTTAAAATGTTTACTTTTCCATTGTTCATGTTCTTTTTCCCTCCTCTGGACTTGTCTCCTTCACTTTATATACCTCCTTATGCTGAAGTTCCTCTTTCATTATGATTTTTATTCTCGTCTTCTTACATGTACACAGAGAACATGTTTGCTAACAACAACAACAACAACAAAACCATGAATATGAATTGACGAATTGCAAATGGAAGGGATTCGTTGCTAATTTTCCCATGATATCGCTTTTTTTTGATTTGATTCCTGTACCTATCATTCTTATGTTTGAGGTTGTCGTACCTATTACATAGGATTGAGTAGCATGTCGAGTTCTGGACTAAATCGTTTGGATATAGTTTGGTTGTCAATACAAGGAGAAAACGAGGGGAAAGGCTCCACGCAGCCTTATCAGAGATCCTCACACGCTAATATATACTCGAAGCCTCGCGACGTGTTGCTTGTGGGTAGTACTAGTATTTTACCACATAGGAATACACATGTGGTCTTTACTTTGTTCTTTCCAGCATCGTTAAAGCTAGCCTTTTAAGCAATCAAACACATCACCTCAGATAATGCTCAATTCCTGGTCTGTAGTAGTGTCTGTCTTTTGATAAACTTTCTCTCAAGATGTGTTCATGCCAATGAGGTAGATATTGAGGCTCTTTTCAAGCTTCTCTACCCTTAATTTAGTATTAATTGTATTTTATTTCGCAAGAAGGTTTTTTGTTGCTTCGCAACACCGCAGTGATATGCATATTATCTTTTTATTTAGAAAAAATAAGGAGAGTCGGAGCAATCTACATTTCAATATTATGGATAATGATGGCGATGAAATAGAAACATAATTAAATCAGTAAAGCGCCGTCAAACAGCCCTGGCTTTCAAGAATTAAAGCGTGAAGGGTTCACTAACTGCGCAAGAAAAGCACAAAACAAATGGTGTAGTTTCAGCTGCGAGGTCACGATATAGTAGACTTTGTCGTTTATGTGTGTTACGTGTGAGACTTTTTTATCATTACCGGAGTCAAAACAACTCGAACTGCACCCCTCCCATTTTCCCTTTCCTTCCGCTTGGATATATAGCTCTGCACATTCCTGGAGTGACCGGGTTATCGCCGCCTTTTCACATGACGACAAACTTCGATGAGCTTTACATCCTTGAACCTTTTGGTTACATGAAAATTACACAATCGTAGTCAAATGAACCCTTTAACTCTGATGAAGAATAGGCGTGCAAACTGACGGTCAACTCGCGGGTGGGGGTGGTAATGACAGCCCGTTTTCCTCCTCTTGGGATACTTCACTGGGTGTTTCTTTATTTACGTATGTAGACGTTCTGATTGCTCTTTGTTTGATGAGTGGTTAGTGACAATATGGATTCGCGGTGGTTTGAGTTATTGGTATGTGCAGGGTGTGTGGTGCGTGCGAAGCCTTTAGATCATTTAATTGTGTGGGTACTTTATTTTCTTTTGACCTATCCTTCTGTTGAGTAAACACAAAAAGCACCGGTATAAGTTTGAATGCTGTCGGTTGATTAGTTTTCTTATCTGTTCATGTATTGTCTTTAATGTTGTGCATTTTTTTCTTTTTTTCAATCATACACTCTTCACCTTCCTATTTTCTCTTTTTTATTATTCAATAAATAAATAGTATTATTTTTCTGCTGTTACTTCAAGCTTAATTTCAAAAGAACACAGGTTTGTACTAGTTGTAATCACAATAGGGAAGATAGCAAAAGTGAAGGAGATTTAGTGAACTATTTGCACTCAAGCATTTATTCGTATTATTGTTACAACCCTTCTAAGTACTAAAACCAATTCTGCAACACTGCAAGTGTTTCTCTCTACCTAAATTGTTGTTTCACCACAAGCAACATTTTTAATCTAAAAGTGCAACTCCACCTCCCGGAGGAAGCAAGGCAATCATAAAAAAATAAAGGAAAATCACGCTAGCCAGACTTAGTCCACCCTACGAACACCCCTTTGACATACTAAAGGTAGGAGTCAAACGTTTATACACACACCCACACAAATCAAGAGCGCGAGCGCGAGAAAAGAGGTTGATTGATATCCCCGATCCCGAAACATGTTCACCGGTCAAGAAAGCGGCGATAAGGAGAAGCGGGGGGCGAAGCAGTCGATCAACTCCCGCGCCGGGGCGGAGCGTCGCCAGCGTCAGCTGATGACCCTCCGCCACAAGGCGCACGGCGAGGTGTTGAAGCACCTCCGCGCCGACCACGAGGATGAGGCCCTCGGGATCCCCGAAGGGGCGGTCGGGGGGACCTCCAACGTCTCCACCGCCCTCGCGGCGGGCGCGGATCCGAACGAGCTGGTTTGGATGTTCAACGCGGAGACCAAACCCGCGATGATCCCGCTCGATTTGCTCCCACAGTTCGTGCAGCTCGTCGTGGCGGGGACGACGCCGGAGCAGGTCTTCCACGGCACCTTAATGATCCGGAAGATCCTCTCGGTGGAGCGGGATCCGCCGTACGAGGCGGTGATCCGCACGGGGGTGGTGCCGAAGCTCGTCGAGCTGCTCGATCACAATCACTTCCCGAAGCTCCAATTCGAGGCGGCGTGGGCCCTGACCAACATCGCCGCCGGGACCTCCGAGAACACGATGATGCTGATTCACTGCAACGCGGTCCCGAAGTTCGTGAATCTGCTGGCCTCGCCCGATGCGGATTGCCGGGATCAATCGGCGTGGGCGATTGGGAACCTCGCCGGGGAAGGGGCCGCGTGCCGCGACGTCGCGCTCGCGAACGGGGCGATGCCGGCGCTGCTTCGCCTCCTCCTGGATGAGGCGCAGCCGCTGAACGTCCTGCGCAATGCGACCTGGGCGGCGTCGAATCTCTGCCGCTGCAAGCCGGTGCCGGATTTAAAGGAGGTCGTGATCGCCCTCCCGGCCTTCGCGAGCCTGCTGAACCACCAGGACGATCAGCTCGTGATGGACGCGGCGTGGGGGGTGTCGTACATCTCCGACGGCCAGGCGGAGCGGGTGCAGGCGGTGCTCGAGGCCGGGGTCCTGCCACGGATCGTCGAGCTGCTCCGGTCGCCCTCCAACAACCTCAAGACCCCGGCGATCCGCACGATCGGGAATATCGCCGCGGGAACGGATGAACAGACGCAGATGATCATCAACGCGGGGGCGTTGCCCGCGATCGCGGAGCTGCTGTCGAACCCGAAGCGGGCGATCCGGAAGGAAACGTGCTGGACGATCTCGAACATCGCCTCGGGGCCGACGCACCAGATCGAGGCGCTGGTCTCCGCGAACATCTTCTACCCGCTTTTGAATTGCCTCCAGGCGATGGAGTTGGATGTGCGGAAGGAGGCGGCGTGGTGTGTGGCGAACGTCACCTACTGCGGGTCGGCGGAGCACATTCGGTATTTGGTGCAGATCGGCGTGATTCCCCCACTTTGTGAGGCCCTCCGCGTGTACGACTCGCAGATCGTCACGGTTATCCTGGAGGCGCTGCAGAGCTTCTTGCAGATGGGCGAGAGCGATCGATCCTCCGGCTTCCATGAGGAGAATATGGTGGTGAAACAGATCATCGACTGCGGTGGGATCGACCACCTCGAGGAGTTGCAGAAGCACACAAATAAGGACGTCTACAACCTCGTTTTCAACATTTTGGAGAACTTCTTCTCGGTTATGGATGACGGGAATGCGGATGGGGTACCGATGTCCGACATGCAGTTTGACCAGCCCATCCAAAATAACACCGATTTTCAATTTTAGTTTCCCCTTCTGCATGTGCATACATATACCTATATATATATATATATATATATATATATATATATGAATGCGTGTGTGTAGGTATGTATGTATATATGGTTGTGTATAAAAGAGTAGCTCCATAAGAGTGATCTAACAGAAAGGAGAAGGAGTAGAAAATGCGCATGGATGTGTGGAGAGATAGGTGGACAGGGTAAATGGGCGAGAAGCTCTTTTCTCAAAATTTATGGGAAATGAACCTCCCACGCGCATATTATTATTTAGTTGCAGTCGAGTGCAAAGGGTGGGGAAGAAGTGACCTCATAGTAAGGCGGAAGAAGAGTGGTGCGACGCGGATAATAGTGCTAAAGAATGAACATATATTTATATATATATATATATATATTAATGATAACTTATAAAAATATGAACTGAATTGTGGAATTCTTTCGATTCCTTCAAACCTTTTGTCACGCTCGGGGATTTGAGTCTCTCTCTCGATGCTGATCGGAAAAAAGTTTATTTGTATGACTGAAACTACTGTTTGATAGACATTATTTAAATACGCTTCTAATTTAATTATACTATGTGTAGCACTTATGCTTGGTTATTGTTGTTATGATTGCTTTTGCGCAGTTTAAATAAAATGAATATCCAGAGAAGTAAGAGAGAGATCAGCGGAGAGCATTATAGTTTTGGACACATTTCGCTACATGTTGATCAGGGTGAAGGGGTGAGAAGCTGTATTCCAAGTAAATTCACGTACTCTATATTGTTATCGGAGTAATTCTAGTTAGGTGATGTATAGCTTAACTATAATCTTTGTTTATGCATTAAGTGATGGAGAGCGAGAGATTTAGTAATCAAATAGCAGTAAGATTATCAGTTTTATTTGGAAGATTCTCATCTCAAGTTTGCCATTTTCGCTCCTTGCCTTTATTTCAATTCAGAGTCCTTCTAATAGTACAGAAATTTGTTCTCGAGGGAAATAAATAGGAATGCGTTCAGCTACATTCATAGAATTTTGTTTTTGTTCTATGCTAAACTAGTTGGAAAGACTGTCGATCTTGCGCTAAAAAATAGCATCCATTTTGATCACCACAGCAACAGTTGATTAAATGATTCTGACGGGTGGAATTGGCGATTTTCGTGATGAGGCGCTGTCAACATCAAGAAAGAGATTCAACTAAGCGTGTGTGTGTGTAGCACTAGTGAAATTTCAAAGTCTTATTCTTGATGTTTTATGACAAAATCGAAATCTTTGAGAAAATATTGAGTGTATTAGGATCCGATAGAGAGATATATCGGTTTGCGATTACGCTTGTTTTCAATCAACTCATTTTTTTTTGAGTGGTATTTCCTTTGCTTGTGTGAATGCGCTACTCTAATGACATTTAAACGGTTTTCACATACTTTCATCATGGTGTAAGGAGCAGATTATAGTAAACCTTTGTGCAAGACGCTGAGCGGTTCGCAATTGTCCATGCACCTCATCTTCCTATGCTTTACGTTGAAAAGGGTTGTCCACTCCTCCACCGCCTTTGTGATTTCCGGTCCCCCTTCGTTTAGGTTTCACATTTTTGGCATTCCCTGTTGTGCTTGCCGAGGACTTTGATCGTAACAGCTCGCACGGCTGCCGTTGTGTTCTGAATTCCAAAATACTATAGATCGCCGCTCTTCTTCTATGTAATTCAGACGCCATAAGTGGTAAGTTTCTGACTTTCCACGTTTCTGAGAATACAAGCCATATTATACCGAGATGATCTTTGGTCTTGTTTCAAGGGGAAGAGTGAGCGTACTACTATGCAAAGGTGGGAGAGTGTTGGTTGGTGGGTACTACCATCTTTAGCGGAGCATTGACGGCCTCGGCTGAGCTGCGGCGAAGTCTGCGGGATGGAGGTGGATGAGAGAGGTTATCTGAGTGCTTTAGTATATATTTTCTTGGAATAGCGCGTTAAGTTACTCCGGCATTTGGTATTTTGGATATTATATCCCCGACAAGAAAACTGTCGGTGGTTCGCACTTTAAAGTCACCCTGTGACACGTTTTTGTTTTCTCCTTTTTCGTGTGTGAAGGTTGTGTTAATCAACAGATGGTTAATTTCGATGGCTTTTCCCTAGTTTCCTTTTCTCGCTTTGTTTGAGCCTCATTCACACAACGATATCAGATTCCAAAGGAGGGGGGAGGGGGAAAAAAGTGATATGAATCGTGCTATGGGCGGTCGTGATGAGCGCCGCGGTGGCGATGCGAGCTCGAGTCGCCGGCACGATCCCTACAACGCACCCTACAGGGATGACGCGGACTATCAAAACCAGCGAAAAATCCGCCGAAAGGAGGAGCGCGAGCGGAAGAAGCGGGAGCGCATCGAGGCGCATCAGCAGTGGACCGCAAAGCGGCAGCAGGCGCGAGAGTCGGCTCGACTCGCGCGCGCGGAGCGGGGGGAGCGGCGGGAGGCGGTCCAAGCATCTCCTCGTGTCGATCGCGAGCTGGTCAAAAAGCCTCGGACGGCGCGTGAGCCGGTTAAACCCGCTCCACGTGCGAAGCTTCCAAAGCCCCGTCCCGAGCTCGAGTCCGTTCAGCACGCTGTGGAGGGGGAACCCGCCGGCGTGGGATCCTCATCCGCGGAGGGGGTGGTCCCCCCGGCCGTCCTCGAGGCCGCACGGCGGTGTGTGAACAAAATCACGATGTCCAACGTCGTCGAGCTCACACGGGAGCTCTCGGAGGGCCTCCGCGGCGGCGTCTCTC